AGTGAATCACAAAATGCATTATCATCTGCAGAGAGAAATTCAGCTGAAAGCCAGTGATCCGTGTTGATCTCAAGGGAGGTTTCTGCTGCATGGAAATCAGTTTGTTTGTTTTACAGTTTGGGATAGTGCATGAGGATTCACCACTCTGCACAGAGTCTTGGAGGAGGTGGCCCTGAAGCTTTTATGGGTGTAGGAACATGATGGTGACAACATGACCTTGTCTAGGATTAATTGCCTGATTGTCTCCCAAAAAATAAAACTGAACCTTGCTGTTATTGGCTCTTGATAGTAGAATAACTACCATATTGTATTTCCTGCACTGTGAAGATGGTCAGGATAAGACATTAAGTGTGAGAAGCCTTTGCAAAAGTTGGGAGCTCAGCTCCTGATAGGAAGTGGGAGCAGGCATGGTAAGAGTTCCCCTGCTCAGAGAGAGCTTTATGGTTGCAGGGTTCTGTGCCTGGATGTCAAGAAGCAGGAAAATCAAGGTTGTGGGTGCAGTTTTAATGCCTTGGTGTCCATGTGCTGAGGGGAGCAGAGGTCACATAGTCCTGTACCTCTGCCCATCTTTGTTCCCTTCCACAGTGCCCCATGAACCTGATGCTGATGCAGCAGGTTTTGCTGTGCAGCTCCCTCTCCCTTTTCTGTGCCTTTGCCAGAGAGGACTTGCATGGTATGGTATGTGATAGCCAAAGAAGGGCAGCTCTTCATGTGGGAAGCTTGTCTTAGCAGCAAAACCACAGCAGCACATGCTGGAGGGGCAAGCATGAAGCCCATGGCATGTCGTGGTGCCTGACAGCCATGGTGGATCCTGCTGTTCCCTCCTTCCTGCTGTGTGTGCCAGCTCACACCTTCTCCCAGTGGGAAGGTGGTTCCGTGGGGCTGCTGTGGTGCTGCTTTTTGGTGAGCAGGTATGGGGGGCAGAGGGACAGTAGACTTCCCTGTTCCCAGCAGCAGCACCTTTCCAAACACCTTCTGCACTTGCTGAACTGGGGCCTGGAGGTGCCATCTCTGTAGCTGCCCCAGCTCTGGGGCTGCTATCAGATTTTGGCTCTTTCCTCTCCAGTGGGATGCTGAATGGGAATGGCTTGCTGGGGTTGCTCATACTGCTCCTTGCAGTTCAGGCAACTGCATCACATAATCTCTTAAATAAACCCATCAAGTCTCAGACATGGCTGGAGCCTCCTGCAGCCTGGGGCAGCCAGTAGGTTAATCTGGAGCTCCTCTGGCCCTGCAGTAGACCCCTTTGAAGTTGCTGCAGCTTAGGAGTGAACGTGCTTTCTCAGGAAAGCTGGCATTTTTACTAAGCAGTAGACTCTTATTATCTGAGCTGAGAAGGCAGTGATTTCCTTCTCCTGCCAGTAATCCCCACTCAAGGCGCTGTTATGCTCTTTTACAATTTATTTTCTCTAATTGCCAGTTTGCAGTGGCCATGCAGTTCTCCCTGGGCTGCGTTCTGGGAAGCTTTTACACTTTGAAAGGAGCTTAGTCCTGCCATTCTGGCTGCTGAAACTGGGCAGCAATTCCTCTCCAGGTGCTTCAACAAGAGTCCTGCCTGAAAAATAAGTAATAGCCCATGCTGTTCGACTGGTGCCTGATACTTTTGGTCTACAGTGCATTCAACTGTTTCATGCATCCTTTGGGAGCCCTGATAAACTGTCCTTGACTGAGGTGGTGTAGCAGGTCCCTGGCCATTTCCTCCTGGATTATGGGGTCTTTGTTCTACTCCCCATCCCTGTCTTCCAGCTCAGGGGGGCAGGTACCTGAAGAACACCTGGTCTTACTATTGAAGACTGAGGCCACGAATGCATTAAGTACATCTTCCTTTTCCCTGGCCTTTGTCACTCTGCTTTCCCCTTCATCCAGTAAAGGAGGAAGATTTTCCTGAACCCTTCTTTTGTTGCTAATGTATTTACAGGAACACTTTTTATTCTGTGCTGTGTGTTTACAGTACAGTGATGGAGATTTTAAAACGTGAGCCCTGCTCAGCCACACAGTACCTTTAGCTCCTGAAGCTGGGAGCAAGTCTGATGCTTTGCTTTGTCAGGGTAGTCACTCTGCTTCAGCCAGATCTGCAAACTGACTGCTCTCAGTGGCAGCTTTTGAAAATATTCCTGAAATAAAAAAAAATAAAAAAATAAAAAGAAGAAAGAAAAGATTGAATTATCCTCCAGCAATGGGAGTTTCAATAATGCCGTGTTATAAGCAGGGCAGATTTTACCCGCAGCAAATCCAGGCTGTGGGATTTTATGGGGGATCAGAAGCCCATGTTGCTTCTGTAATGTGCTGCCCCCTCTGTTTCCTTGCAAGGCGCCCTCGTGGGAGCACAGGGGACTGACCTGCAAAGTTTCCTCCTCTTGGAAGTGCTCAGAGCCTGGCCGTGGGTCACTGCAGCTGCTGGCAGCTGGGGATTTGCTGTTCCCGCAGCCAGTGCTTTGCAGGGGATATTTCAGAATAAGCACCTACTACGGGAGTTAGGTGGGAGAGATTTTGGATGTACAAGACTCCTTTTTTTTTTTTTTTTACAAAGTTTTTTTATTTCTTGCATCTATTAATAGGGCAGCAGGAATCTCCATATGCGTTTATAGTCCCTGTTGCGCTTTCTAATGGATATATGCAAAAGCTCCGAGGCGCATAAAATAGACACTCTCAGCCAGTTATTATGATAAAAATTATGTGCATGTCATGACCTTTAGAGCAGTGGGACTGTGTGTGCATGCTCTGTTGATATGCCACTGTTCTCCATTCCTTTCAGAAGCACTTCTCGCCGTAGGAGGTTTGCATAGGAGCTTGGAATATTTTTCTAATCAGCGAAGAGTCTTTTGGCTCTGATGATAACTGGAAAAGCACAGAGGAGCGAGAAAAGGGAAGAGAGATGACTTTTTCTAAAGGCACTAACAGTGAAGAGGTTAAAGGCGAATGGTGAGGCACAGCATGAAAATCCTGGCGCCGTCTCCAGTGCTGTCAAAAAAACACTGGTCCAAAAAGTTCTTTGTGCTCTTTGAGGAAAAAGCTATTCTGGTGCTCTTGAGGATAAAGAAGAGGGGGAAAAAAGTTTTGTAATCCATGTGCCCTCTTTAAAGAAACGTGTTTTTTTGTTTTGTTTTAAAACTTTTAATAACAGTGCAACCAGAATTTGCTCTGCTTGCACAGCCCACTCTGTGTCAGACTTGCTGTTGTGCTGGAGAGCTTTGCCATCCTCTGTACGGGGGTGAGAAGCAGGATGCCAGCTGTTATGGAGAAGGAGGCATGGAGAGAGGGGCCCTGTGTCCTTGCACCGCTGCATCCCTCAATCTGTGCTGTTAGGAAGGATTGCTGTCTCCTGGGAATGCAGATGGTTGTTTTGGGCTTGCTGGGATGGTCCTGGTGCGAGTGTTGGGAGCTGTGGACAGAATGCTTCAGCAGCATGGCTGGGGTGTGTGCAGGCACCAGATGGGATGGAGACAGTGTTTGCAGAACTATGTCAGTAATTTCTGCTTTGCTCTCTGCTTACACCACAGCTTTCTGCATGCTGGGGTGGGGGGCAGCAAAGAGCACCTGGTCCCTGTCCCACCAGGCATTCCTGTGTAGGATGCACCTGGGAGGAAAGAGCTGGAAGTCCTGGAGATGTGATGGTCTTAAAAGCTCTTGAGTAAGGTGAGAGGTTATGCAGGGCAAGCAGCAAGGCCTGACATTGCTTGTGATAGTGTTGATACTGAACCCCTGTGGAGATGTCAGGCCACCCTCAGCTGCATCCCAGCCTTAACAAATGGGAAAATAACACTTATGGCTTTAAAAATTAAACATTCCCTTTAATTATTGAACATGAATAATTTTCATGCAAATTGAGCCTGGATGTGTGTTTCCAGAGTGACACAGCTCGGAGCAGTTACATTGCAGGGTGTCGGTGACCTGTGAACCGAGAGGCTGTTTATTGTTTTTAGCATTTTGTGAATAGTACCCTGGAGGGTGGGACTCAGGCTGGTAGAGATGGTTGGCCGAAGAAAGACACTTCAGTTTGCACCAGTGGCATCCCATTCTAATGCTTCAACATGCTAACTGGTGTGTGTGTGTGTATGCATAGGTATGTTGTTTTTACATAGTGGGATATGGATATTTTGGAAGTCTCCTGGTGGGGAGGGCTATAATTAAAGGAATAACTGTGCAGTGACTGTGCTGCTGGGAGCTCTCCTGCTCACCTCATGGAGGAGGTGTGGACAGAAAGGCTTTGAAGGGGTAAATGGGAAAATGCACCATGGTTTTTCCTGGCAAAACGACAGTCTCTGTCTAAAACTTGAGTTTCACAGGACAGTTTGGCACAACCTGATATGTGTGAGGGTGGTACTGGCTGGGCACCCACAGATGGACATGGTGTCACCAGCTCTTAGCATCACATTGGACCGCGGAACAGCTCTCATCCAGGGCAGATGGAACATTGGATCTGTAGTTGAAGTGAGCCTGGTGCATCTGGGAAAACTGCAGCACTGTGGGGGCTTTTCCAATGGCTTGGAGGATACTTAGTGCTGGGGTTGAGTCGGAATATCCTCTGTGACTAAGCTCCTATAAATATTTTCCTTTTCATAATGGAATGTCAGCGTTTACTGTTTCCTGATTTTAAGCATTGTACAGTTTGTCAAACATTTATCTCTGCCTTAAATTAAGTCTGGAGATAGAATTCTTGTTAATTTCAAATCAATACGAAAGGGAGAGAGAAAGAAATTGCAGTCTAGCCGCTTTCTTGAATCAATATTTTCTTTAAAAGCTGAAATGTTAACTAGATCATAGGGTTTTTTGCCATTTTGAAATGTAGCTCCTGTTTAAAGAATTTATGCGTTGCCCCTGAAAATTGCTGATGCTGGTAAGTTTTGCAGCAGGCACAGCTGCCAGCAGGTGTTTGACCCAAGGCAGGCAGGATGGGGCCAGCCCTGGCAGCAGGGATGTGGTAGAACATTAAACATTATCCTCCTTGTTTCTGAGCTCATTGTCTCTTAATAACATTTTTCTTTTGTTCTGTTTTGCAGAAGCCTTTGAAATTGTAGTACGGCATGCAAGAAACTTCACCAACAGCATGTTTAGGACCCACTACAAGAGCATGGGACCCAGGGCTCTTAAACTGGTTGGAGAACTTTTTACTGATGTTTCTCTGTATATATTGGGCTCTGACATCAGTGTTAATGACATGATAAATGAATTTTTTGACAGTCTGTTTCCTTTGGTTTACTCCCACTTGATTAATCCCGGCTCCCCCGATCCTTCCCCGGAAATGACCGAATGCCTGCGGGCAGCCAGGAGGGACCTCAAAGTCTTTGGTAACTACCCGAAGGTGATGATGACGCAGGTGTCCAAGTCACTGCAGGCCACGCGGGTCTTCCTGCAGGCGCTGAACCTGGGGATTGAGGTGATAAACACCACTGACCACCTGAAATTCAGCAAGGACTGCGGGCGGGCGCTGCTGAAGATGTGGTACTGCTCGCACTGCCAGGGGCTGCTCCTGGCCAAGCCCTGTGCCGGCTACTGCGGCGTGGTGATGCAGGGGTGCCTGGCAGGCGTCGTGGAGATCCATAACCACTGGAGGGAGTACATCGGGGCTCTGGAGGGGCTGACCAAAGGCATGCACGGCATCTATGACATGGAGCACGTCCTCCTGAACCTGTTCTCCTTGGTGCGGGATGCGATCGTCCACGCCCAGAAGAGCGAAGGAAAGCTCTCGACAGCCGTGAGTAGATCTCTGCAGTGTTCCCCAAGCTTGCTGCTGTGGCAGGGCTCATGTACCATGAACTCTATATGCTGAAGCTATCCTGTCCCTTTCCTCCATTCAACAAACCCCAAATGCCTCAATTACCAGCTTCTTCCCTCCTGATTTTTTAAAAAAACTTTTGGTGGCCTTTGAAACTGGTGTTTACAGGGCCTGGGTTTCAGTTAAGGGCTTTTCCTCTTTTCAGGTTGGTCAGAGCAGAAGGGTCTGGACTTACCCTGGCATCAGCTTTGTAGCTGGGGTGTGAGGTTGGAAGCTGAGATGTCCCAGCCTTTCAGTTCTTCCTGAGTGCTGTGCTTACCTTGGGTAGCTGTGAAGGCTGGTCCTGCTCTCCAGGATGTTCCCTGTCTCCTTTAACATCACTAAAATATACATCCAAATAGATGCCGAGTAGAGGCACACATACTGTGGCATCCATCCCCTGATATACCAAAGAAAATCTAATTCTCCATCTTTTGGTAACTCATTCCAGTTATGGGCTGCATTTAATCCCAGGCATGAGATCGTTTCTTATTTGTTAGAAGTGACTTGACTCTTTAAAAAAAACATTGTGAATTTCTGAGCCTCTTGAGAAACTGAGACTTTCTTGTTCCGAAAATCCTGCTGCTGTTTGAACACCAAGGACAAATGTACTGTGGTAATACGATGCTTGTTCTGCAGAGCAGATTTTTCTTAAGACACAATTGAGCTGTTCCTTGTAGGTAAGGTAGAGTTGGGAATGGGGCAAAGGTGCAGGAGTGTTGTAATAGTTCACTTAAAGCCAGCGATGATTAAAATCTGACACTGTTCCCCTGTTAGCTGCTTGTTCCTGCCATTCTTGTATCCTGTTTACAAAAGGGCTGTGTTTATGTAGGTCACTGTACTACTTGCACTGTGAGTAACTCTTATCTTTTTCTGGGGGACTGTGGAAATGTATCAGCTTATGGATTTTGAGCTATGTGGCACTCAGCCAGCAGCACTCTTCTGTGCCGTTTGCTGTGCCTTCTTTGCTCCGTGATTGCCCAAGACATGCCACCACTCTTGTGCAGGCTGTGAAATAAAGAGGTGGCACTCATGTGGTGTCACACCACCTGGGTAGTTTGGCACACATGGAGGGAGTTCTCTCTGTTGCTCAGAAGGGATTTAGGGACCACATTGCAGTAAGCTGGATTACTCTTGTGTTGCAGTGACCAGGAGGAGGCTGTGGCTGAGCTGAGTGTTGGCCACCTGGGTAGATGGGTACAGGCAGGACTCATGGGCAGCATTTTAATCTCCAGGGTACAGTGCAGGACATTGCCTTTCAACCTGCCCTAGGCCCCCTTCTGCAGAAATCCCAGTTTTATAGCAGCTTGCCAAGCTCTTCCTATGTAGGGAGGTTTCAGCTGCTGGTCCAGGAGCAGCAGCTCTGGTGCCATGGAGTCAGGGCAGGTTCTTCTCCCTTCACTCCAAACCTATCCATCCTTTCTGGAACAGCAAAGGAGCAGAGATGTAACTGTATGTTTAGCTTGAGGTCAGGTGAGATGGAGAAGTCATGTTACAGGTGATACTAAGAGAAAACCCAGCTTAACTCTAAGTCCAGTTGGCATTTCCAAGGCAGTAAGAAACAGAACTTACTTCCACTTGTAGTGTGAGCCTATTTGATCTCAAAAGATCCGTTGACATACTCAGTTTTGAGCAAAAGCTTCCAACATGTTTTGCACTGGCAAACCTGCCATGCTTTTAAGTGCTAAGGCAGAACAAAAACACTGCCCTTGCAGGCTGTATGCCAGGTTTCACGAGCACAGACAACATGTGCATTGCTGTGTGATCCTAAAAGGATCAGTGCTTGTTCTCCCATGTCCTTCTTTTATTGGCACAACAGCAAAAATGCACTTTTCCTTGAAGATGTCGGTGTATGCAGCTAATGAACTTGACTGTCCCTTTTATTACTGAATATTGACACCTTGATCTGTCTACAGAGAAGGAGTATATGAAGTGCCACTAAAAACACAAGCCAAAGCAGTAGAGCTACAGTCTGCTCATCCTGTGCCAAACCAGAACATACGTTGACTTCCTTTACAATAAAAAATTAGTGGGCATTGCAAAACCATTGTGCTTTCGTACTTGATAGAGCTGTTTGAATTCATTAGTGCCATATGTAGTGAGGTACTTATTTAACCATAACTCCTCTTGATTATTTAATACTTGAGTGATTCTTTTATTTGCTCTAGAGACATTTTTGAGTTATAGGAGCGCAGAGGAAAAAATCCAAGCCAAGCAAGCTAGTTGCCTGGCAATTGTCACTAAAAGAGAATGGCCACTGGGTTTTTGAAGTTTGTTTTTAAAACACCTATGTTGCTCAGCTGAGGCTCTTATGTCAAACCTGAGCCCAGAGCAACCTTCTTTTAACGAATGAATGTATGAGTTGTTCAGTAGAGAAATAAAGCAGTAATGGAAGCATTGACAGTCTTAACTACAGTATTGCAGGTGGACTGACTGATAGCTGGGCTGCATCTGGGGTAATCTGGGGTAAATCTCTCTGTAAGATACCACTCCGTATGTGATAGAATACAACTTTTTTATTTAGCTGTGCTAGAATGAAAGTTTCTTGGTTAAATGTATAAGCACATATTGAGTTTCAAAGAATATACCCAGAAGCAAACAGTTATATTTACTGTTATCCTGTAAATATGATTAGTTTTAGACACTGTGGTCATATCAAAGTATGAAATGGCCACAGAAGTTGTCTTTGAAAATGTGGGGTTTTAGTTTTGGCCTGGTTCCTCATATTGACCTTGTTTATTACTGACCTTGTCACCATTGTTTTCATTCTATTCACCTGTATGGTATTAAGAATAATGATAGGTTATTTAATTGCCATTAATATCCCCTGGAATTATGGAAAACTTATCTTCCATGCCCATAGTGATTATAACCTGAATAACAACAGTACTGCCCTTGCCTGACCTTTGGGCTTCTTTTGTTTTTCACAGCATTGGTGGCATTTCTGCAGCAGTAGTTTTTTTTCCTCCTGGTGTTTCAGGTCCTTGAGTGTGTAACCTGACTGAGCATCCTTCCTGCATGTGGTTGTTCCTCATTCCCCCTTGCCACCCTCCCCTAGGCTGGGTATGGGCATCCACATGAAGACCTGGACCCTTTTGTAGCTTGCAGCAGACCTGGCTGCAAAGGGCATGTGAACCTGAGCTCCAGAGGTGTTGCAGAGCCTCCAGGTAGGTTTCTGAACATCTCTGCAGTTCCCAACTTGAGAAGTCATACTGCTGTTAATCTGCTTTTGGGAACTGCATTTAAATGTGAGCCTGTGTGTTCCTGATCTGTAAGCAGCAATGCAGAAGAGTGAATTCAGTAATATGGCAGTAAACAATTCCCATCCCAGGCCTTGCTTTAGTAGCTAATTTGTCAGCAGTAGTGTGTGTTAGGGCTTTATTATTTCTACAATTTGTCTGTTTAAAAACTTCACCCCTAAAACATGCTATTAAAATACTTTATCAAGGAGGCTGACTCTGAGGGCACATTGGGAAAAAAATTCGCTGTCTAGGGCTATATCTATATATATTAATTTTCCAATCCTCCAATTTTTCCCTGGTTGAAAATCTGCCTAGGATGTCCACCTCTTGTAGATATTTTAATCATGAGTGTAGGGAAGAGCGATTTTAGTCAGTCTGTTTGTGCTTTTTACCACAAACCAAGACAACTGGGAGAAATGCAGTACAAAAAAGCTTAATAGAATATTCAATCCCAGCACTTCTAAAAGTTAATGCTTTCGCTGTTGTTGGAATTACAAGAGTAACAATCTGTCTGTGTGTCTTGAACAGCTAATAGTTGATCTCCTCTGGGGTTACAATCATAGCATGGTTTATGTTGGAGCAGATCTTAAAGATCATCAAGTCCCAGCATTCCCTGACATGGGCACGAACACGTTCCACTAAACCAGGTGGCTCAAAGGCTTGTGCAGTCTGGCCTTGATGGGGCAGCCACAGCTTCTCAAGGCAACCTGTGCCAGGGGCTCACCACCCTCACAGTCAAGAATTTCTAATCTAAACCTGCCCTCTGTCAGTTTAAAGCTATTCCTTCTCATCTCATCTCCGTGCCCTTGTCAATAGTCCCTCTCCAGCTCTCTTGTAGCCCCTTTAGGTACTGCAGCACAGGACACAGTTGGCTTTTTGGGCTGCAAGTGCAGATTGCTGGGTCAGATTGAGCTTCTCATCCATCCACACCCCCAAATCCTTCTCTTCAGGGCTGCTCAATCCATTCTCTGCCCAGTCTGTATTTGTGCCTGGGATTGCTCTGACCCACCTCTCAAGCCTGTCCAGGCCCCTGCTGTTCCTCTTGCAGTAGGTTGAAGTGTGCAGCTCTACCTGCAGAGCATTGCCTAGAAAGAAAAGAACAGGGAGCTCAGCAAAGCCTTTTTTTTTTTTTTTTCCCCAGAATTTATGGCTGAGTTTCTATAAAATCCTATTAAATTGCAAAATTAACCAGACCTTTGTTCAGCCCCTCACACCCATCTGTGCTGAGGGGAGCAGGTTGAAGGAAGGGTGCCAGTGCCATACAGGAACAGCATGTAATTCCAGGCGTGCTTGTCTTGTGAGAGGATCCCTGCTGTTTTACTTCCCTGCAAACACCTTTAAAAGACTGTGGAGGTCTGGGTTAAGTAGGTTATACAGCCATTCTGTTGAGGGGCTGTGGAGGTGATGCCAGAGTGCAGGCTGGGTTTGCTGTTATCCCAAAGGTGGAGTGCTCACCTCACCTGGCTCAGGGAGAATGCCTGGTATGAACCCAGCTCTGATGCTGGCCTTGGGAAGCTGCCAGGGGAGCCCCAGGCAGGAACAGAGTCAGGCATGCTGGACGCTTGTTTGCCCTAGATTTTTAGGGAATCCTGGCAGGGAGTCCCCGGGTGTTCTGTAAAGACAGCCAGGTACTTTGGTTGGTTGTAGCACCATGGAGAGGAGCACTGCTCTGCTGCACTTGGTGTCCAGGTTAGCACT